GCCGTACCCTCATTGCGTTGATGGGTGAGTTTCAAGTCGGCCCCCTTCATTCTGCTCCTTTGCTGATGACGACGGTGGGCGGTAGTGCTCTTCTTTCTTTTCTATAATCTCCATGCTTTCCCATCCAGCCCAAACCTTATCCCGGGACTGCCGGCTCGTTACCAGCATGCCATTCGACAGGCCATCTTCTTCGTGGCCGGTGTGTGGGCTGGATGCCATCTGATTTACATCACCAACAAGTTCAGTTATCTGTATATCATGAAACAGGCGCCAACTCTGGGATGTGTATGGATTTGGTCGGTCTTGGAGCTTGACCTTCCCGTGGCGGTCGCCAGCCTGGCGGTGGCAGGTGCTTATTTGCTGCAAGGAGGGTATTCCATTAAATAGGCGGTTCACGACTCGTTATTTGGACCTCGACCGCTGGGTAGACTGCGAACTGGCCCGCCGGTGGTGTCCTCGATTCGTCAACTCGCTTGGAAGCTGTTGCGAGGGACTGGATAATCGGCGCGACCTAACGGGATCGGCCAACGGTGAATCTGGACCGTGGCTGAGTCGACTCCGATGCAGCAGACGATAGACGAGGTCCTCCAGCTGATGGATCTGGGCTCTCTGCTCAGATATTTGATTCTCCATACGAATAAAGCTCTCTTCAGCCTTGGCTTCCGTCCACGTCGTCCTCGATTCCAAATCTCGAATCCGACTGCGACAAATGATCAGTAATAGCGACCAACAACTCGTCAGCAAAAGTATCTTACGAAGAAATCATGCTCATTTGCGTGAACTGCACTCTTGCCGTCAATGCTTCTCTCTGGCGGACCAGCTCCAACGTTTTGGTCCGGACCGGCAGCCAAGCCATGGCAACATTGGTCGTGAAGCTCCAACTCTTGGGCACGAGAGTCCATTTACCCTGGTTCTCTGCGTCTTGGCCCGCAGCCTTAGTCTCGGCCTCGGCTAGCAGTTCCAGGATCCGTTTCTCCAGCTTAATCAAATCGTCCATCACAAAGGCGTACATCTGATATTCAGGTTGGCGAGAATGGGGACCTCCCGATCTTTCACCGGCTGTGCGAACAAGATCTGATAGCCACGTGGATTCCGTTTTGAACCATGAAAGCGAGGCCTTGACCCGGAAATACTCGTCGTCGCTGTTGCGCAGATATGTGATTCTAACGTACACTGCTGCGACAATAGCAACAACAAATGTGAGGATTCCGGCGACATTGGCCGCGATGGACAGAGGGCTGTCCTGCTGCGACGTCTGGTCCATCGGGATGGTCCAGAGAATGACGTTTGCGGCTCTGTTTCGGTGACGCCAAGTTTGCGAGAGAGAATTGTGACGAGGCTCGCACGCAGTCAATGTTTGACTTGCTCCCACGGACCCGACAGCAAAGGTCCGAAGGGAGCTTGGGAAGGAGCTTCCATGTGAAGAGAAGTTTCTAGGTGCCAGGTGAAAGGTACCTACCCCTGTGCCCTGGGGCACCCGTCGCTAAGATTTAGCGCCGTTCTTGGCTTCCCGTAGTGGGGCCGTAATTCACCTCGCTCCGGCCCCGCGTAATCTCGAATTGTCGACGACAGACTCCCGATGTTGCAGTTGATGTCCTCCGAGTTTCCGAAATGACGAGAATTCTCTATATCACTGCAGTTATGTGTGCGGTCTTTATATGCTCTCTTCCGGTTGTTGTCTCTAGATTTGACGATGCCAGTCACCTCATACACCGACGAATGTCTGGGCCAGATCTTAAGACTGGAATTCTTCATCTTTTGGTGTTGGTAAGGTAGGACCAAACAACGGCGGAACACAATTCCAAACATGAGGATCAGGCGAATCGTCCAGTAAAACGGTTCGTCTATTTGACTTGTTTCCAGAGCGCAGAACCTGTGGTGCTCTCGGGGTGTTGAACTTTGCTCACCGGAACAATGATCCTGTCGATTATCGGAGAAAGCCCTCGCGGAAAGAGCCCTCTTTATATTGATGAGTCGCTGCTTCCTCAGGATCAGTTGTGAAATACCAGAAATATTCTGACCGCCCTCGGTTGACCTATTATGGACGAAGGGACACACTGAATTCCCTACCCTCCTACCCTCCTACCCGGATTTCTTCCACCCTTCTTCTACTTTTTCTCTTCCCCATCCAACCAACCTTTCCAGCCTCCAATCCCAGCTATATCAACCAAACAAGCCCACCAACGAAGGTATTCCCAACTCTTCCCTAGTTACCGATCAAAGCTTCATTCTAACTAAGAATTCCAGCATCATCATCCACAATGTCTTCGCCCTACACCATCCCATACAAGGCCACCGCCTCGACCTTTGTGCCGGGCGCCGCCGCCCACCCCCCAGCGCCCCAAGATCATGCCGCAGCGAATATGCGGACGGTTCTGCAGCCGGCGGTCGCCGGACAGCCTCTTGCTGCTGACACTAGTCACAGCAATGCCCCGGTGGCCGTGGGTGGCGCCCCTCGGGATGCCATCCCGGCGAAGTTCTCGTCGGCGGTTGAGGCCGCTGCTGGCGGTGGCATTGCCATCGCCGCCCCGGGTGGCCTCCGGGGTGTTAGTGGCCCAGCTTCGGCTGGTGCTGCTAACAGCAGCGGCCAGAGTGGCCATTGTGGTGAAGCTGTGCCCACCACCAGCACTGTGAGTCTCCTCCCTTTTATATCCTTCTTGCTATCCCCCAATCAGTAACTGGACGGGAGAGAACAACCACAATGGCTCTTTCTTCATGTCCTCATTTCATCTCATGTTGAGTTACTGATCCTGCTTTACTGATCTGGCGCCGCCTGGGAGCTCTCCAATATCTATATAAAGCCCCCTTCTCTCCCCTTTGATTCTGACTTCTTTCTTCCTCCAGACCACCACCACCACTCCCCTTGGCACTGACGGTTGTGAAGAAATGGAGCAGCAGCTCCAGACTACTCAGGCTGAGATTGCTCGGCTGAAGGCTGAGAATGCTCAGCTCAAGGCAGACAGTGCAAGAACCAAGGCCGAGAATGGGAAGTTGAGGGAGGCCATTGGCACCGCTGGTCTTGCCTTTGACGAGAACGAGGGGCTCCGGGCCGTGATTCTGCGACTTGAGAAGGTGGCGTCGCACAAAGTCATCCAGAACGAGAACTTGTTCCAGCAGATGGCAGACATCCAAGGCCAGGCTCTGGCTCTGAACCAAGATCGAGACAGGCTTCGGACTAAGAACCGCCTTCTTCGAGCTGAGCTTCGCCAGGCCATCAGGACACTGCTTGGTCTCCATAGCGAGAACATGGAGCTGAAGGACAAGGAAAAGGACGCCACTATGGGTGCCCAGATCCTCACCGACATGCTCGCTGCCGTATACAACAAGATCGTTGACGACGCCCCGGACATCATGCCTACTCTTTCGGAGCGTGTGCAGAAGACCATTGAGCATGTCTACGAGAATTGGAAGGAGGAGCAGTTTCTACAGGTATTCCACCCCGAGCAAGCGATGCAGACGACCTCTCCCTATGACATCGTACCTCGGCACACCCCGGTTCCTTCTCGTGGCGGTATCGAGTTCATCCCTCTTGAAGGCAACGAGGAAGATGAAGGTACCCCTAACGCCGTATCTGGTACCTCGACAGTCGTGCCCCCTGCACCGCAGCCGCAACAGCCGGTGCAGCATCAGCCCCCTCCCCATATTCCCAATCACAACATTGCCAATCCGCACGCCACTGGCTTTATACCCGGTCAGACCAACATCTTCAGGCTGATCATCGACTCCCCTGGTCAACAGTTGTATGAGAACAACATTCCCCATGTCGACAGTCCTCACACGCCTACCACCGGTGGCCCTGCCCCTCCTAATGGCGGTACTGTCAGCCTCTCCGACAACCTTTACGATCCTGATACTCCCACCCTTCATGGCGCTTCTAACGCCGTTGACGGTCGCGAGGATCCCCGCGATGGCATTACCATGACCAACGACGAACCCGAAGGTCACGAGGATCTTCAGACTCCCCAGACTCCACAAACTCCCACTCCTCTTCGGCACCATGGAGCGAATGTTCTTGGAACACCGGATGCTTGAGTGTGTCCACTGAGCTGAGTTTTCTCGATATCTTCCGATCAGGTGAGTCCTTGATGCCAATGTCTTTGATGCTTGACTTCTTTTACTGACTGATTGTTCAGGCAAGAGCAGCCACGAATCCCATGAGCGCATTGATTATGTCCACTCGCACTTGTGCATGCTTGGCAGCAAGGCGTTACGATAAGTCAAAAGAGCTTTCTTAGCGCATTCGAGCTTTACGACAGTTCACTTTGGGCTTCTTAGAGGTTCTGGTTGCTTTCGAAAGAATTTAGACTTCAAAGTGGACTCTAGATTTCCTTGGAGTCTTGATCCCGGCTGATATTGGCCTTTCCGCAATCACTGCTCTTTGGTCACGACGTGGCAACAACAACAATCAAGTTGGCATACGAACTCTCCTTTTCTGTGGGATGACATTCGACTTATGCCATTAAGCATTCATAATTCTTTCTTCATCGGTTACGGCACTTCTGCTTCTCTCTTTTCTTTCGCAAGACCTGCACTTTAATACACATGACTAGCATGTGGCAGTCGTGCATCGGCTTCTTGCATGGGTAGCTAGGTTTTCTTTTCACCCCCGCCTTTAATAGACAGCATAGTTTGTCTACCGTTGGCATCGCGGGTTTGGTTTCGGAACGATTTGGTATTCAGGGCTCAGAATGGGATCATGAGGGAAAGGGATATGGCGATTGCGGCTACCAGATGGACATGCGAGGCTCACAATAGCAAGCAGGGTTAGCATACAGCAATCAGACGCCCATATCTCGTCAATGAAGTCGCTGGCATCGAGTGAATGTGTGACATGTGGTGGTCGTTGCCATTAGGCTAAGCTCTGGGCAGTGAATCTCTTGACGATAGTGTTGCTATAAAAGCTGGCCTCTCCTTCTTAAGACTGGAGTAGCCCGCTCAAACCAACCTCCAAGAGCACCACAAACCCATTGCTAGAATGACCTTACTTGATTACATCTCACATGGACGAACCACCACTACCCCCACAGCCCACAGAGCGAGAGGGCAACCCCTCGTGGGGCAGACTACGAACAGTCAGGCGAGCCCGCAACTCACCCCACGACATCCCCTGCGGCGAAGAATGCCTAGTATACCCAAAAGGTAAGACCAACCACATGCCGACCGGAATCATGGGTAAGATCGCCCGATATCTAGAACTAGACCTCGAGAGCCGACCCTCAAAGGACGACGTCTGGATGGAGAGGAAGGGGAGAAAGAGGCGTCGTGGCGGGAGACATCGGCGCTGCCCGCGGCCGAACCAGTTTCATCCAGGTGAGGAAGGAGGTTTGGAGGATGCGGAGGAGACTATGGAGGGGGAGTTGGTTGAGCCTGTTGCGCGGGAGGTAGGTGGCGCCGGCGGTTGTGGTGATGGTGGTGGTGAGGTTGGGAGAGTGTATCCTCCTGCTGCTGTGCGCGGCCAGGAGAGACCTGCTGATCGGGTGGCTGCCGTTTGGGGAGGTTGCGAGAATCCGGCTGCTGGACATGTTATCGAAGAGGCTACCCCGGTGCTTCTGTGTCCTGGACAGGCGAGGGAGGGGGAGGTGAGGCTACCTGGCGCTGCCGAGGTTCCTCGAGGTGAAGGCGCTGATCCATCTCAGAGATGGGAAGGAGGTTCCGGTCGAATTGCAACTAGTGGTCAGTGGCGGTGGTGACATATCTATCAATTAAAGAGAGTTGATATAGTTACATTATGGTTTGAGCATAATGAGGAACTCGTCTTCTTGGGGACCTTTCACGAGCCCGTGGTTCTTGGAATACCTCAGGTTGGCGAAGTAGAGTGATAGACACCACTGTGAGATCATTTCATGGTCTAGAGTGAGCGATAGAAGAATCAACGGCAAGGCTTGAGTTTCCTGGAGCTATGACTGGAAACACAGGGAAATATTCAGGCAGGCTTTTAGTCAAGGAAGATATGATAAACAGATTGACACATGATCTAAGGAGTAAGACGATCAAGATACGTACATTTCAAGCAAGGCGCAGCTAACAACACTACCACTGCGGTGCACTTGCCTTCCTCTATGTATGATGTGCCTCCTATGAACTTCTGGTGTAGTTGTCTGTCTGCCTCAAGGCGTTTTCGTTGGTCGCTCGCATATCTGATGCTGTACTCTAGGCAAGGAAGTCTTGCGAATCAACAAACTTCAATTAGCCCTTCAAGTACCTAGCGTCTGGTACTGTTCAAATAAGAACATCATGATGCCAGCGTTTCTTTTAGAAGAGACCACACTAAAGCGTCAAGCATTCAGGACCATTGAGGTAGAATTCCAGCATCGCGACACGTAAAAGACTGGAAGAGGAATTGACTCAATGCAGTTTCGACTCTGACGCCTGCCCAACACCTACCCTTAACTCGACATTCTCAAATGTTCTGAACAATAGGAATTTGAAACTCGGAAGTTTCGTTCCACGTCCCAGGCACCAGCGGCGAGTCCGCCCTCAAGTCAGCCCGCAAGGCGGCCATCGTCAGCCGCAAAACTGGGACCGCTCCGGGAAAGAACACCAAAAATCCCCCACAAAACAAGCTCCGTTCCGCACCCGCACAACGTTGCACAACCTCACTCGACTTCACTCAACGTCACCTCATCTGGCCCGGAAAAGAATAGAAGCAACATCACATCACCAGAATTTCGCCTCAATCCTCAGCAAAGACAGCCTTGCAGACAAAAGTTACCAAAGAACACCATCATCGCCATGGCATCCAACCCCGAAACCGCTCAACCTCCACCACGAACCCAACCTCAACCGCGTTCACCACCACCCGCGTTCAACCTCACCTACCCCCCCTCCCTAGAATCCTACAACATCCCCGCGGCAACTTGGCTCACCGCAAACTCCAAATCATGGGACGGCCTCGCAACAGGCGCCCTCATCTTCTCCCCCTCGACCAACAAAATCCTCCTCCTCCAGCGCGCCGCCCACGACAGCATGCCCCTACGCTGGGAGACGCCCGGCGGTGCAGCGGACCCAGAGGACGTGAGTCTGTTTGCAGCGTGCGCGCGCGAGCTGTGGGAGGAGGCTGGGCTCAAGGCCGTGGAGATTGTGAGAATCGTAAGCGAGGGGGAGGGGAAGGACCCAGGGAGCGTGTTTACGAATCGGACTGGGACGAGGGTGTTTTGTCGGTTTGCGTTTGAGGTTACGGTGAGGGATGATGGTGATGGGGGGAGAGGGGTGGAGGAGATGGTGAGAATCGATCCGGAGGAGCATTGTGATTTTGTGTGGGCTTCTGAGGAGGAGGTAAGGAGGGAGAGGGTTGGGGAGAGGGAGATCCCGATTACGAATGGGCAGATGGCGAGGTTGATTCTTGATGGGTTCCGGAGGAGGAGAGAGGAGGTCTAGAGGGTTCATGGTTGGTGAGGAGTTGTCGAGCACAGAATGGTCGGTTGTCCTTTATGTCAACGAGGACGAGGAACTATAGAGATAGATGAGGCTCTTGGGGCAATATCAGAAAGAATCGACACCATTACGAAGTTAGTATTGCTCCGGCATAGAGTACAGGATATCATTGCGTGAGACGAAGGAGACAACCATAATGAGGATTTCATCAATGAAAGACACTCGAGTGTGCATACCGTTTGGATACTCAAATGCATTCCCATAAGCCAATATGGCGTTCTTGCCTTCGTGATGGATTACTCGCTCTCATGTACTCTGCCAATCATCGCCTTGATACATCCGTAATCCCTAGGGATCTAATAATCAAGACATAACACCAAAGCCGAACCCACCCATACATCCTTTATGCTCACAACACCATGACTCTCAGTTCAGGGTACCGCTCAGTAGCCCGCCCCTGCCGGAGTCCAAGGCCCTTCACGATAGATATGGTGCCGACGGCCACTGTCGCCATAAGAAACAACAATCTTGTGCTTCATAGCCCCGGTGAGTGTCAGCCGCTGGTCAACATGGAATACTTTATAGAGGGCACTCAGAAAGAGAAAAGAGAAGTTCTCCAAAGAAGCGCAGCGTACTGAAAGTTTCCTTCATCGGCGTTCAACCATTCCATAAGGCTGAGTAGAGATAGCTTCACCATGGCTGCCAGACCGCGCATCTGGCGCACTTCAGCCTGGCAAGGGGACAAATAGCTTCTGGGTGTAAGATAGCTTTACTTGGATGGACTGTGAAGAGCCCAGAGGTATGAAGTGGCAGCTGGTATACTCGATATCTCGATAAACAGTGTCGGCTGACATACGAGGATATGATAGTGAAAGGCGGGGGTTCAGAAGTCACCACGGCCTTCTTCATGTCAAACATGGATACATGAGCGTCAGCTGACGCCCCAACGACACCCTTATGTTTACGAAAGGTCGCAACGTGGCGGCTGAATCCTTTCTGGGTCTTGCGAACAATCGGAGCTTTTGCCATAATTGCCAGGCCAATCAGCGCAAACCGCTCCCAAGATGATGGGTTGAGGAATTCAGTAAGCAATTACAGGAGCGATCGCCAATAAGCTGCTGCCTACCTTGAGTGCTAAGAATTGCTCTCCCCATCTTGCAAAGTTGACTCTGATCCTACCCGTAAGATCATCAACTTTTGAAATATCAAAAGAAGCCCGCGATGCTCCCAAACCTGGGCATGATCGTCGGCCCATGGTGTTTCTATGAAGTGCTGATCTTCGGGCGAGAGATGCCGGCGCCAGGGCGGAGCCGAAGCGAGACAGCGTTTTGCTGCGTGCAATGGGCCGAGGGATCACTACTGCGGCCCGACGCCGGCGGTAGATTGAGGCGCAGAATTCGCAACATCGGCGATTCAGGTACCAAAGTGCATGCATCTGCAAGCCTGCACGTTCGAGAGGAAGGACTTGACAAACTTGGCAGATGCCCTGTTCGACTCAGGGGTAGTTCGTGGGCTGGGTGCACTCCAGGGTCAAAGCGAGCAAGGTAAAGCGAAGCAAAGGCTTTGGGGCTTTGAGGCCTCTGCCGATCTAATGAATGCATCTTGTTTGAACGTGGAGCAACAATAGTTTGGCGGCAATTTGAATTCCCTAGTAGGGCGTTCCGCTGGAGGCGATGACTTGTCAATATCATGCCGAACGCGATAGCGGCTTGGTTGCTCGACTTGATTCAAGGTGCTTAGGACCGTAGCCTGGTAGCAGCGTACCGCGTCAAACGAGCTTCAGACATGACTTGATGGAGCTCAGAAGCCTCAAAGTGCGAACACCAAGCGGGCACACCGGTCATGCCGGAGCTCCGGGAGCACGGGTCTAGACCTCTGCAGACAGCCCACTAAGAGCCTTACACGGCCCGGACAGCGACCGTGGCGGATTTACTTCGTCATTTGCGGCTCAGGCTCGGTGGTGCAGAACTGTCGTGATAGCGTGGAGCGTAGTGTACAGGTAGTAGTGTCGTCGTTGTTGAGGCCAGCTCCATAGCTCCTGAGCTTCAGAGGTGGAAATGGCGCTACTACGATGATCGGCAATGCCCGACGCATACCATCATCAGGGCTGCCCAAGCCGTTGTCCTCCTCCACCCTGTAGCAGCGTAGGGGAAAATTAGCACAGTTAGTCAGGTTCCTAGCGCAGGGTCCCAATGATTGAGGCGGAATCATTGCCAAGGGGGGTCTCGAAGAGATGGAATCTATTGCTGACAGAGGTTGATTCCATGGCGTAGATCTGACAGAAACGAGCAACGGATGACACGAATGAGGCGAGCGCAAAAGTGAGTGGCCTTTGGCGTTGCCGTTTTGGGGAAGCCGGCAAGGAAACAGAGCTGAGTCTCGAACTTGAGCAATGAGGGGTCGTTGGGCGGTGAGTCCCAACATCCCCAGTCGGAGGCAGAACCGGAGAGGAAAGATGATCCGTGGAGTGGAAATAGTCTGGATTATTCGTCTGTAGGTTTTCGTAGACTGTACTCCGTATCTGTACCTGCAATGTGGATGTGGTGGGATGGTTGGTGAGGCTGCTCATTGGGCTCCGCTGAAGTTGGTTATTGGCATGCCGGGGTTTGAAAAGCCATGATCGGCGCGCCTACATCCAAGACACCCCGCGAAGGAGAAGGAGAGCGAACTACTGAAGAACGACGTGGGGTCTGCAAAGCTTTGATGGCTCATGATGCCGAAAAAAAAACCAAAAAAAAACCAGGGACTTTGTGGATCTATGAGGCACAGTAGTGAGTATCCACGGTCTCTTGATGCTGGTCTCAGTTTCGTCCAAGGACTGGACTCCATCACAATACCTATCTCAGGCTCCAGTCCTTTCGTGATGAGGCTTGATAAGTTTGACAGGCGGCTTGGTACCTAAGCTGTGGCGAGTTGCTTCGTGGAGGCGGATGGATATCCATTCTACTAGTTCGCCTTGTGCTGGGTGACACTGACGGGAGGTGAGGCTATGGGTGATGGGATTCGCTGTTGTTGTCGTGAAGATTTGCGGTGAGCTAGTTCGGGTAGGTCGTCAGTCCCAAGATTTGGATACGACTCTGCGTGTGCCTTGATTGATAGCTGGTGACCCATGGCAATAGTACCAGCTGGATTTGTTTGTTGTTTTTGGCGACTCAGACTGTACATACTCTGTAGTCTGTACGGACCGTAACCGTACTCCATCCCCAGTAGTCTCTTACGCCCGCCCGATGGCAATATGGGACGACTCGAGCTTGACCGCCGCAATTGGACGTGGGTTGACATTGACAATGCATCGTTGCCAATTGGGGAGAAGTGA